TATATTTTTCATCAATTTACTATTTTAAAATATATTTTTACAATAAAATGAGACTTAAATAGGCTCTAAACTTTCATCCTAGTTGAAACTAGGTCAATTGATTTGGCAGCAAATGAAATTTGTCAAATGAATTATAAACAAATTGGCATGCCCTAAAGAAAAATGATCATTAGCCAGACTCAAAAATTGGGGGAAAAAAAGCTGGTGTGACAGTATGTTGTTGGATTTTATTTTTTAAAAAAAAATTCAAACTCTTAAATTAGACATCGACACGTGTACAACTTGTTTTTAACCCTATTTTTCAACCTATTTCTGTAGCATTTCTCTGTCCTAAAACACGAGAAATAATTGGGTAGAACAGTTACACTGTCCTGAATGACGTGACCATCCAACGAGGAGTCGTCAAGGAACTGTTTCACCACGTATTACGGTACGCAAGCATCTCTCCTAAAACACAACTGGTACCTTTCCCCACTAGCTCAACCATCCCTCTTTCTCTATCTATCTATAAAAGCTTGTTCCGATTCTCGTTGAGAACTTCCCCAAACCCAAAATGCACAGATATATATAGAGAGAGACATATTTATTCAGGCAAACCATTCTAGGTTTTGTGATAAAATTTGGTAAAGAAGATCTTCAATCTCCATTTATTTATAATAATGGCGAAGAAGAGAAAATCCGATGCGACGAGGCTGGATGAGGTGGATCGAACCATGTACTCTACCTTCTGTAGTGCGGCTAACTCCCTCTCTCAGCTTTACAGCCAGGCCATGCACCACCAGAGACTCTCCTTTCAGGCTGGTGAACGCCACGCGTTGGTCAGCACCTTTCCTCAAAATTTTGTCGGTTTTACTTGGATTTTTTTTTTCTTTTCAAAATAGAGCTTCTCTTGAATGGGGTGTGTAAATTTTTTTTGAGGGAATTCATCTTTAATTTCATTTGTAAGGATAAATTGTCTGCTGCTCAGCACCGCGCCGACTCGACGCACAATTTTTTTTTTTCTTTTTTGCCGGTTTTACTTTATGGGTTTCCTTTAATTCAGCTCTCTTTTAATCGTTCGCATTTTTGTACGGTGTTGATTTATTTTTTATTTCACCTGTAGATATATTCGGATGATGTGTGTGAAATAGTTTCATTTTTGTGTTTTAATCCTCCTAAATTTGTTGGCCCTTGTCTAATTTCGTTTAGGAATTTTGATAATTTGTAAAGAATAATAATAACTGGTATGCTGGTTCCTTTTCACTAGGTTTGTACTGTGTATCAGTAATTTAACTGCTCTTTGTTTATCATCTTATATACGAATTTTCATAATGTTTATTTCGTTACTTCTTGTTTCTCATTTACGAACTGTATTTGGAAACGACCCTTTATTATATTTTTCAGTGTGGGCATTCGTAACTGGAGTAAAAAGCCAATTTCACTAGCTCTCCACCCCCACCCCTTTCTATGTGTTAACTGATAAACAATTGACCTTAGCATATTATTTCCTATTTTGGCATAGGAGAAACTTTATAATTGGACCTTAAGACAACAAGAAGGTGGGGCAAGAGTGGCAACCTGGGATGTACTTGCATATATACAGGTTTTTTCTCTTTTCATTTTATTTATGATGTTTAACTCGAATGGTGTTTATCTATCCTCCTGCATGTTTATTGACTGTTATTACTATACATTTAGTTTTTAATTTTTTTTTGGGTTCTCTTATGCTGCATTTTCTATCTTCGGCAATTTTAGTTTGGTTTGCTTGATCTTCGATGTTTTAAGTTAGAAATACCGGTTTATTTTGCAATGATATTTGTTGACAAGGATAGTTATTTGTTTTACTTTTGAATAATTCCTAGCCCTTGTTTGGTCTCCATTATTTCAAAAATACATTTTTCTCTCTCTTATTTTCAATCACACATTCTTCAATAAAATAATATTACATGCAAACTCAAAAATTTTCCTTATTTTTTAACCACACATTCTTCATCGAAATAAAATTCTAAAATGCATTATTGGGCAAAAAATGGGGCTCAAACAGGCTCTTAATCGTGGTGGCGTGTCCAGTTCTGATAGTTGAAAGAGTAGGAGTGTGACAATTTACTACTATAAAGATAGCCTAAAGTTATTCAAATTCTATTTATTTATTTATTTGCTGCCATTAAGCCATTAAAATTGGGCATTTGGTTTTGTAATTAGAATTAGAGAGTCAATCCTTGTCTAAACTGTGAGAAAGATGTTATATGAGTGTTTGACAGTGAGTATTTTTATAATATATTAGTGTTCCACAGAAAATATGAAGAGTGGGGATATAGTAGGGATCGTTATGAATTGATGGTCACAAAATGGTTGTCTTGCTATTCTTTAATTTTATTTTGGACTAAATTTCAGCATGGAATTTCAATCTCAAATTCCTAGACAAATGATACATTATCTTTTAATAGGAAAATAGGCAGTGTAATGTTGTATATTTGTATCACACAATGGAGTAATGAAATTTGCCTGACGGCATTCCTCGTCTTTGTACAGATTTCTGTTTCTTTTCCACTGCTATCGCTTACTTTGAGATATCAGATAAATTTATGATGATCTTCTTTTCTTGGCTTTATTTGTGCAACTACGGTTGAATTTTTCAGGTTTACAACGAAAATGCTTGCTTGAAAAGAATAAAACTTAATCTCGATGACTTGCATTTTGCTCTTCTTGTTGTATGAATTTTTCCTAGGTTACATCATTTGGAAAATCTTTCCTATCCAGATATTAGAGCTCTCCACAACTACTTGGTTATCAGGTTTCTCTAAATCCTTATTCTACCTTCTTTCTTCTTGGGATAAAATTTGGATCCGTGAGGAATTCATGTTTCACTATTTTGTGATGAGAAAAGTCATGTAAATGGGTCATGCTGAGGAAGCCAGTTATTTAACTTTTAATGCATGTCTTAAGGAGCCGTGTAGCAGATTGGTACATATGCTGTTATGTACTTTACCTAGGGGAAGTTGGTATAAAAGATAATGCGACCTGAGGAGTTCGGTTGCGATACATTGTAGACTAGAGGGTCACATATTCGCTACCATGCTAAGAGTAAGGATGTATATACTGTTGTTTCTGAAGTAAACGATTATATATAGGAATTAAGGAATTATTTTTAGGAGATTATGAAGTTTTAATTAGCACTATTAGATGTCTTCCTAGAGCTTTTGTGCATTTGGTGGAGATTAAGCTTGTTGACCCCAGTACCTATTTACTCTGCCCTTTTCTGATTTGTAGTTCTCTCTCTAGGTCCAAGAATTGAGAATCAAATTGCAAAAATAAGATAAAGAACTTTAGGTTTGTTAAGGTAGCAGTTTGAAAACCTGGTCAATATTCACACATGGATTCACTCGGTGAAACTACTGAGCATGCTGGGTTTGCCCCACTTCTCACAATGTTTTCAGAAAACAGGAATGATTTTAGTACCACTTCTCAGAATGGAGAACATAGATGTTTTTATGTCACCTTTTGGTGGGTAAGCAGTGGAGCAGTAACTGTTTCAGGGAAGCAGCAAAAAAAAAAAAAAAAATTGTGCTTTATATTGTCTGGCATGTCTGGCTATGTATATACAAGTGTTAGCGTTTTTTTGAAAAACTTTCTAACATGTTATGGATTAATTATTCAAGATGCACTTACAAAGTTTTCTAAATTTACGAAAATCTACTAATAACACAAGATTTCCAAATTATTACAAGCACATAGACAAAGTTTTCCAATTTTATTTGTGATGGAATTCTTCCAACTTCGTTGTAAACCTAGGGAGTTATTCCCAACCTTAATCCATAGTCAAATTGAAGGATTAAATATCCTTGTTGTCATTGAGCTTTCTCGAATGTTTCTTAGTTGCCACGAAGTTTTCTCAAATGTTTCTCAATTACCATTGGACTTTCTCAAATGTTTCTAAGTTGTCATCGAACTTTTCCAAATGTTTCTAGTTTCATTGTATTTTAAAAGTTATTCGAGTTGCATTTGAACTTAACGGAGTTGATGAATTTACCGACATACCATGATGTATTGACATAGAGGTGTTGGTTAGATACGAGCTTGACACGTGATTTTCATTTTAATGTAGGACATCACATGACGTGGATGTGCCAATTATGATACTATAATTTTATTATTCTTTTATTTTTGTGGGTTTTTTTGGATTTTTTTTTTTTTAATTTCTTTGATTTCTTTTAGTTTTTTTATAAGTTTTTAAACTTGAAAGTGGTAGTGTTTCATTGAAAAACACAAAAATATATATTAATCCATCTATTTGACTTTTCAAAGTGGTGGGTCCTATAAATAATTGAGAATCGCACCTAATTTTACTTTTATGATTACACAAACAAAATGCTAATTGTAACCCTAAAGGGTAGCTCAGTGGTCAGATCTTGGATTTGCTCCTCAATAGTCATCAGTTCGAGTCCCCTCAGGGTCACTAAGGTGAGTACTCGACTGTAAACTTCAGGGTCTTGTGGGATTAGTTGAGGTGCACATGAGTTGGTCCGGACACCCACAGTCATCCAAAAAGAAAAAAGTATTGATTTTTTTTAAACATATGGTGTTACAACTGCTGAGATGACGAGATTTTATTGGCTGATTTAATATTTTTTTTTGTCCAAAATGGTGTGAATTCTTGTCAACTCAGCATTTTGTAACTCCATCTGTTAAAATAGCATGTACAAGTAATATTTCTCTGTCACAAATACTAAGTGACAATCTTAGTAGTAAACCCAATTTTTTAAAGAAACGATCTCGAATACTCTATTGCAAATCGGAGACACTTTATTGCACGCCAGAGACATCTAAACTCCAGATTGACACCTTAGGCTTGCAAGATTGGAGATCATCTTTATTCTTTACTTCACCTTTGTTTTTTTTTACATTTTGGTTATGTTTGAAAATTTCGGCATGTCGGAGATGTTTCCATAGCGAGTAGTGTTGTGTCCGGCACTTAAAAGAGTGAAAAAATGGATAGGAGGTGTTTCGTGCCAGACACCGACTTGACAGTGCTTCACGGTCGAAATATTATCCCATTCATCATTTCAATTGGCACATCATGAAGCATCTTAACTTCTAAACAGTGAATGAAGGATGACATTTTGACAAGTTCTGTAACAATTTAGATAATGTTTATATGGCTACATAACAACATTTTGAAAAGTTAAGTGCATCTTGAAAACCTTTTAAATCTAATGGCAATTGAAAAATATTTGAGAAAATTCAGTGGCAACTAGGATTTTTAATGGACGAATTGGACCAAAATAGTTGAAGATGCTTTGTATCATCAATCCAGCTTGATGACATTTTCTTTCAATCTCAAGCTTTCTGGCCAATTTTGTTATTAAGACAAGGTTTATACAACTTTTGGTAAATGTTGAACGAGTGGGAAAAAAGAATTCATGTTACTGGCTGCAAATTTATTGGGAAGAAGGTTTAAGTGGTAATTTTGTTGTTCTACTTGTTCAACTTTTTTCTCAACTACTTCAAAGGATTCCTGAATCAAAAGTTCTAGAAGCGTACCAAGTACACCTCAATTCTAATTTGTTATTTTTCTCCTGAGTACACACACAAAAACACTGTTTTTCATCTGAATTTATTTTTCATTTTTCAAAACCTCTCAAGGTTGCATGTTTTATTTATGACAAATACCAATACAATAAAAATAAACTTGCCCCATCTGGAAACACTTCATACGTCATAGCCATATGCCTTTGTCATTCGCTGAGTAGTGTTTCCTTGGCTCGTGGTTACTTTCAGGAAGGAGTTGTGTAAACTTATTGCTGAACCCTAAACTGGGGAAGTTCAATCTTCGTCATAGTCTTCATGAATATCCCCAAAAGCATATCCTTGAAAATACTCCCCGATAAATGCTCTTATCGTTGGGTAGATTTCTGTTTTTTCTAGTATCATGTTTGGTCAGCAACTTTGCTTTTGTTATATGTATATATGCTTTCTGGTTTGCGTCTTTATATTGCTGAAGACAGAAAGATCTCTTGTCCTTGATTTCAATTCCTGGTATTTATGTCAGAATTGTTATTTAGAAAACCTGTATGGTATGACAAAAATAATGTTCCTATGAACCGGGCTTTCGCTGAATTTTCTCCTTTATAAGGATGAAATTTTTGTTGATGATGCTTCTCGATAGTTGTAAATATGTTTGCCACGTCTAGCATGCTTGTTTCAAGCATTCCCTTTATGCCCATCTTAATTATTTGACAAATTTGTAGAATGAGCTCGACTATGGGACACAGGAACTCCCTCAAACTGCAGTACAATCGACTCACTCAGGAACCCCCGTACCTTCTAATTCATTCGGTGCTGCAACTATTGGACAAGGACTGCGATCTGGAAATCCCGACAATCAAACGAGAAACTCCGTTTTCTCAAACGCACTTTCCAGTCCTGTTCGTAGGACTCTTCAGCACTATCACCTGACTCATGGGAGTTCCTATTCAAACAACATTATTTCTTCTGCCAACGGACAGAGAAACAATGAGAACAGCTGTCTCCCAGGCAGGGACCCTAATCCACCGAGCTCTATTGACACTTCAATGGACACTCACGCAGATAGCCCTGGCTACGATTCTCCATACTGAAATTAGAGTCGGGTTCGGGTTCAAATTCTGAGAGTCGACACTCGCACAAAGGTTGTGATAACCATGAATGCAATGTTACAAAGAAAAGTTGTGTTTGATGTGGTCTGAATGGATTGTGGTGTGTTGTTGATTGTTTTGGGTTCTTTCACGTTGATATTTATGTAGTGTTTCTCCCATTCGCTTTTCATTGCATATTGCTCACAGATAGTCTCAATGTCAAAGACAATAAAATGTAGCTCAATTGTATTCTGTTCAAGATTGTATTTTGTATCTTGGAAATGACTTGGTTTGCAGTAAGGTATAAACATTTTCTATGTAATTGTGTTACAAAGCTCGATTTTTTATTGATCGGTTGTGTTCGTTTTCCGACACCAAGTTTTTAGTAATTCAACCGTCATTGTTTTTAACTTTCTAGATGTTGGTGTTGGTGGTTGAAATATTATCCCAAATGTCCCAATAGGAAGAAAATATAATATTCAAGGTTTGTACTGGCCTCTGTATATAAGAATCAGAGACTGCTAGAAAAAATGAATTTTGGAGGGAAAAATATGTTAATTTGAAAGGTAAACGTTCATCTCATGTTGTTAGGTTGTAGTTAATAAGGTGCTACTCGCCTTGTGATCAAATACAAAGATAAACGAATCTTATTTAGTAATTAGTACGTGCCAAAAAATTCCTGATGCTATCAAATTTACAGTTGACGCTTCTATGATCAACGTAGGCAGTGTTTAATGGTGGGATCAATTTGTGATTTGTACTTCAGATGAAATACCGAACAATCCCAACAAGGCAATTGATGCTACGCTCTTTAACCAATCGCCTTGAAGAAATCTTGGCTCGTGGAAGTTAGTGATCAATACGGGAAGCAACAAGTGCATGTTTTGTACACACTAGGCGCAAGATCTTTTTTCAGTTGAATTATTGTACACTCTTTCTGATAGTCTACTCACACGAGTGAACCCTGCTATTATTTTAATTGCAGGATTTACTCGTGTGATGTGAAAAGGATATCAAAGATGGTGTAAAAATGAGTGTGCATGTAACACAATTCTTTTCAACTATGGGGACATTGAGCTTTATAATTCCCTAAAAGTTGTCACCATCCTTTGTTGTGTAATTTTACGGTTTATTGATCGCTTGTATAGGGAATAACATGTAAAAAAATGAAAAAAGTATTGTCATTGTATTTGTTGTTAAAATTTTGAATGGTACCATACATGATTCGGTGTGTTCTAGCTGTTATTTGTTTCTCTGAGGTTGTCTGAAATGACAATTAACCTCGTTTCTTCAAATCGTCTTATTTCAATGCTTTTTGACTAATATATACACATTGTCACAATAAAATTTTTTCACTGTTAACATAGTGTCTTATAGGTACTCTCCACTACGTTAGTATCTTGTTTATCTCATAGTAATAAAGGGCTTAGATCAAAGTTAATAGGGATTGACATGATTGTGGAAGTTTCTATTGTGTTAGAATTTTTTGTAGAACAGTGATATATAAACATAGTGGAGTAAATAGATTGACATAGTTGATTCAAAGTTTATTAAAATAAATTTTATTTGTCTTTATTAGCCCAATTGGGAAAATGTTGGTCTTGTAGGATTTGTAATTATGAATCTCCTTTTATGTTGGACGACCCCATGATGCATGATGGAACTTGTAAAGATCTAGTCAATACCTTACGAGTTTTTCTAAAGAGAGGGGGGGGGGGG